TACCAGTATATTTCACATTTTTTTTGGAGAAACTAGTATATTTTACAATTATTAAATCCTATTCTAACCATTTATTTGCTTGCCGTTTAAAAACTCAATTTATTTGGTTGTTAGTTGGTGTAGTGGAGCCGCTGAGGAGCTTTGTAGGATTTTTTTGCCGTTCACTTTTGTTTGATCTTGCTCTTTTAAATTCTTTGATACGTAGTACTATGTATCTTCTTATCCCACACCGGAAGGAGAAGGAAATATCTCCTCTCAATACTCCTATAAATTCGGGTCTTCCAACATGGATAGCTTCAGCAACAATCAGTCTAAGGCCTGGTCCCGTTGTGCGGGAGTTCGCTTGCTCTGGGCGTGATGTATTCGGCCTGAGCTTTTGAATAATAAATCGTAAAAGCGTATTAGAATCGCGATTCAATGCGATTTTTCATGAGTTTATTACGATTTCATACGATTTTGTTTAAATTCGTTTTTTCATGCGATTTGAATCGATTAGTTGAATTTGAATCGTAAAATCGTACGATAGATTTTAACAACCTTGCTCGTGACCTCCTTTGAAGTATCATGGTGATGCCATTAGACCACAAGGTACTTGGTGCTAGTGGTCCGGCCCGTGGATAATTTTTGTTTTGTTAATAATTTTTAAATTTTATTCTACAAATATATATATATATATATATATACACAAATGATCCTGTCCGGACGTCCGGACAGGAACCGCCGTCCGGCCGGCGGCGTTTGGCCGCCTTCCCGGTGGAATTTTTTGATGAAATTTTTATGGCATGTTCTCCATCAAGTCTAGTTTATCCACAAAAAAATTCAGCCAAAAACTCAATCGGGAAGGTCATCAAATGATTTTTGCAAGTTAACTGGTCCGGAATATGTATTTTCCGGACCAGTTAACTTGCAAAAATCATTTGACGACCTTCCCGATTGAGTTTTTGACTGAATTTTTTTGTGGATAAACTAGACTTGATGGAGAACATGCCATAAAAATTTCATCAAAAAATTCCACCGGGAAGGCGGCCAAACGCCGCCGGCCGGACGGCGGTTCCTGTCCGGACGTCTGGACAGGATCAGGACTCTATATATATATATATTTATCAACTTTTTTTATATTATTATTCCCACAATCCCACTGTATCTTATTTTTTGAGCTTTTTTTTTCTCTAAAAAATCCCATTATTTAATATTTTTATCATTTTTACTCTATGATGTATTTATATTACTATCGTATATAATAATTAAGATTTTATATTACTTCAGTTTTTAAATTAATCTTTTTTGTACATTTATCATTTCCAAAAGTTTTAATTTCTAGTTTACATGTTCAAAATTCAAATAAATTATTTATATTTTTTTTTTACATTTATTGTATTTTTATAATCTTTTTTTTATTATCTTTTTACTAATTTTATTTGTCTTCGTAATTTCATGAGTTTATGAGATATTTACATTCAAAAGAAGTTTTATTATTAATATTACTATTATCACTTTTTTTTATAGATACATTATTACTTTTAATCATTCGTTTTCAAAACAAGATTTAAAAATGAAAGCGCATGAACTAAATATTAGTTAGGTAATGAAGATACGTGTTTTTAGTCTTCTCAATTAAAATGGTACGTGACATGAGCATTCAGATGGAGACTTGGAGAGCCGAGTCTAGTATTAAGGTGTGAGGTCCATTATTGAAAAGAATACACGAACTTGTCTATATTTGAAAAAACCTTAAAAGATGAAAAAAATGATATTATTACTTTCAGTTTTTAGCCCATTTGTGAAAACTTCCCTAATTTTTTTTTGACGTTTTAACTGCTCTACCAGATCCCTATCACTCGGTAGTCGGTACATTAATGCAAATTCTCGTTACTCATTAGCTCTTTTTAACCATTTCTTTTGGAAGTTTCTTCTCCATAGTAGGCCAGATTGGAGAATAAAAAAATTATGAAGCCCTATATGCCTCTATATTGGTTTCACATAGTCTTTTATCTTAAATTGAGCTAAAGTTATCATTTAATTAAGGGGAATTTGAGTTTGCACCTCACTTTTTCGGTGATATTGGACTTTGCACCCCAATTTCAAAAAACTTTGACTTTGCACCCAATTTCACTAGAAAATCCTTTGACTTGGCTCCTTTATTAAAAAAAATTTTCACAAAGTGTTATGTGTTGGGGTGCAAAATAAAAAAAAATCAAAATTATGTGCAAAGTTGAATATTACCCAAAAAGTGGGGTGCAAAGTCAAATGAGTTTTTGTCAGTTTTAGTCCTCCAATTATAATGTCAGTGACACTTTTGGTATTTCAACTATTACAATAGTGACATTTTTAGTCCTCCACTTATTGTGTCAAATTCACAGTGAAAGAACTAAAAGTGACGATTTTATAATACTCAGGGAACTAGATATGGAAAATATTGAAGTCGAGGACTAAAAGTGTGTATTTTATAAAACTCAGATGACTAGATGTTGAAAACATTGATATCGATGACCAAAAGTGTCTTTCACACCATAGTCGAAGAGGAAGAAATGGAAAAACTGAAAGTCGAGTATAAAAAATGTCACTAGCTCCTTAGTCCCATTAGACACTATTAATTTTGAGTAGAGTGTAATATAAGAAAAAACGTGAGATTGAACCATTGAGGTTATGCAAAGAAGTATTGCAACAATTCATAATTCCCGAAAATTTATAAAGGATACCATAGTCCATAGAAGCATCTTTTAACAATGTTTAGAGGATATACATTCCAAGGGTTAACAATCTTAAAACACATATGTTAATTTACAACAAAAAGGAACGCAGATTATATTCTTCATAAATAAGTAAAACTTTTCATAAAAACGAAGTGTTTCACATATTTAAATACTATACGGATAAAAAAGAAATATGTTGCCAACATTAAAAACAAATTAAAAGGAGTATATTTCATGGCAAAAGATGTTAGAGTAAAATGCATAAATGGTTCTTGAACTATCATTATCATATCATTTTGGTTCTTGAACTATTAAATATATCATTTTAGTCCTTAATCTATTTCATCTATATTAATTGAGTCCTTCCGTTAAAATTTGTCGTTAACTTTGACGGTAGCTAATTAATTTATTAATATCTCAGAGTTTTTAACACTTTGGGAACAATACAATCATTCTTAAAATTTAAGTAGCTAATATTGTTTTTTTTAAATATACATATATGCACACATACACACATAAAAGTATATATAAATAATATATAATCAAATGTATGGCCTAAAAAATATATATGAGAGAATCAAATAACTCAATTATATGCAGATAAAATTAACTAAGAAAATGAGGATGGTTGTGACTAAAACTCAAGAAAAAAATTATTCTAGGTGTGACTAAAACTCATCCACTTTCCCAATACATGACCTCATTAGTTTTCCCTCCAAACAATAGTCCATATTTAAATTCGTAATATTTGATAAATAAATAAATTAATTTTATGGATTAATTTGCCCTTACATTGTTTACCAGAATATACTCTTAGATTGATATTATAAAATTGTAACTTCCTACTCATTTTTCTAAAAACCATAATCATTAACCCGCCGCCCCCGTCTCTCACAACCATGCCCCCGTCGCCACAGCACACGCCTCCCTTGTCGCCGTGGCCATCCACATGCGTCGTCGCCGACTCGCCGTCTTCATAGAGTAAACATGATATAGAACCACACAAATTTTATCAAATTTGGTATGAATAATCGTCATAGTCGGACGGATTGAAAAGAAAGATGAGACAATTTTAGCGGGCCGGAGGACATATATTATTTAAGTCATACATTTGGTTTTATATTATTTATTTAATTATTTAGTTATAAGTTTTATACGTGTATGTTTATATATATATGTATATTATAAAAAACTAGATTAGCTACTTAAATTTTAAGAATGACTGTATTGTTCTAAAATGTATAAACTATGAGATGTTAATATATTAATTAGCTATTGTCAATGTTAACGGCAAATTTTAACGGAAAGACTCGATTAATATAGATGAAATAGATTAAGGACTAAAATGATAGATTTAATAGTTTGAGTATCAAAATGATATGGTGATGATAATTCAAGGACCAATGGACCATTCATGCATTTACTCAAGATGTTAACCAAGATTATAAACACCATAATAAATGTAATTACTTGATTATGTATAAATCGTTCAACTTAAAAAATAGCACATTTTAGTAAAATATGTAATAAAAACGAGACACTGAACATATGAAAACGTCAAACGTGGAAGTAACAACACCAATTAGCCAGGTTATTCTAGGTCAACCGGTGATACAGCTGATGTGGCAGCCAAGTGTCAATTTTTTACCAGTGCGTATACGCTGCAACCGGCGTAGCATGAGCATCATGCTCCCGTGTCCAAAACGGCGTCGTTTGAAGCATGCCGTTTCAACTTGAAAAAATCGCGTGTTACTGTTCACACGCGTGAACAGTAACCTTTTTTTTTTCTCATTGTCCAGGAACAGAATGTGATGTAAGTCATGTGTAACGAAATGTAACTGACGTTATTGATCAATGTAACTCAAGCTTATCCAAAATGTAACTTGTCAAATATTGATTTGAATGTAAACAATGCAAAAAGAGAGTCTAATTGCACAATTGTTTTACGTAAAATGTGAATATGTTTTGTTTGTAGTATCATGGTCATAAAAAATATTTTTTTAAAAAAGATCATTTTTTTGTTTCAATAGCAGGGGTTGAATTTTTAATGTAACTCGTGTTATTACAGATGTAACTCATGTTGATGACAAATGTAACTTGAGTGTATATAAAATGTAACTTGCTGACATAAGTCAAAATATAACTCACGCTCATGAATGATGTAACTTGTGCCCACATAGATGTAACCACAAGTATTTTCAAGTGTAACTTGAGCCAAGTCAAAATGTAAATTGTCCAATATAGTATAAGATATATATATATATATATATATATATATATATATATATATATATATTTGAGCAGAGTTTGGCTTCATCGTGAGCACACTGCTGGACATGAAAGAAGAAGAGATTGACCACTTGATGACCAGCCTGCCTCACATCTATCAGTGGTGAGCCCTATGAATCAAATCTGACATCATAGCTGAGCACCGCCGCCTCAAAGACGAGGAGTTGCGCCGCCGCCACCTCCTCCCAAGCTCGCCGGCGATAGATAGTGTTATGACCTTCTTCGTCGATACTCTCTCCTAACGGCGATTGTCTTTTTTTAATCTTGGATTGCTGTGCGTTGATTTTTTAATCTTGGATTGCTGCTGCCTTAAAACTACGTCGTTTGGGAATGGGTGTAGCATCCTCATCATGCGCAGGTCATACGGTATAATTTGCGTTTTTTACTTTTCTTTTTTTTCCTCTGGCCCACGCACCCTTCTTCTCCCTCTGTTCTTCCCACCACCACACGTTCTTCCCCTTTCTTCTTCCGCAGTTCTGCCCCAAATTTCTTCTCCAATCTCCCTCCTATACGTATGCTTCCTCTTCCGATCTTCCTCTCTACTTTTGTGATCCTTTCAGCGTTTATGGATTGAATCAACATTTTCTTACAAGGGGACCAATTAACAAGAGCTCTCAAATGTCTGTACGTATGTTGGTTCAACGGCACATTTTCTTCATGGTCTGGACGTGATCTCATCCCTTGCAGCTGGGCCGGAGCTGAATGCGACTGTAGCGGCGCCGTCGTCGCCGTCTCTCTCTCCGGCTATAAGGCTATTCCCTTACCGGCCTCTTCCCTGATTTCCTTCTCTACAGTCTCTCGTCATGGGCTGGTTCATCGCCGCCGTGTATGGCGGGCTGGAGAAGAGGAAGACAGAGGGGTGGGGAGGGGCGGGCTGAGAAGGAGGAAGAAGGGAGGGGGATGTTTGGGCCCGGATTATGTCACAACAAAAACGGCCCACGATTGTTAGGTAAATACGCACACATGGGCTGATATCCAAACCCAATTCTGGATGCTTCTAGACGCATGCTGCTGGACGTGTTCAAATATAGAGAGTCAATATTCAAATATGGAAAGTCACTCAAGCACGTGTCACATGAGCTGGCCGAAATAAGGAGAATTAACGTACATGTGTAGGAATTTAATGTGGAATAATTATGTTCCTTGATTAAAGATACTTTCCATATACTCCGTAGTTTATTGTTTAAGAGAGAATAAGCATACAGAATAGTATAAATTGAAGCATCTTGTAAAGGTGGAAGGACATTCTGGGAGAGGAGCTCACCAACACTCTTTTATTCATACCAAAACTCTTGAATAAAGTATTAAATTCCGATTGTTATTTCTTTGAATAATTTCTTGTGCGATTCCCATATCTTTTATTTGATTGTTAGAAGAAATTATCAATTTCTTGCCTAAACAGGGAGGGTGGGTAGAGACGAGCTGAAAAGGATTGAACAGGGTGGAGGGGTGGGCTGAAGAACAAGGAGAACAACGGGGGTATAATAGGGGCAGGCTGAAAAGAATAATAAAGAGGGATTCAGTTGGTTGTTGGGTTGTCCGGAAGAAGAAAGTAGCTTGGAAAAAGAAAGGGGTAATGAAACAAAAAAGAAAACAGAAAAACATAAAAATATTCCAAACGCCAGTAAGGTGACCAGGTTACCGACTCTCTACCGGCTAAGTTAGAAAATTGATCATTTTTGCATAGGTCAAGGTCTCAATTGAACGTTTCTTTAGTTGGAGTGCTTATTGACTTTTTAGGCATATTTTGAGGGCTTATGTGACATTTTTCCATAGGATTATTTTTTACCTACTCAGCTATACCCCTTTCAAACACATAAAGTCATGTCCCTACTTAGGCTACTTTTACACTTACTTTTAGTTTTATTTTGATTATTTATCTTTAGTTTAGTGCATGACAAATCATTCTAAGTGGAAATTTTTTAGGAAATTTCTATGGTACCTATCTAAATATGTTGTGTTTCGGTACCCAAGTTCTCAGCCAATCAGATTGCACTATGTTGCCACGTTGTATCCACAATTCCATGACAATATTATCCTAGTATTTGCAATTCAGTCCTCCAAACTAATACTGTGTGAAAAAGTCATCATCGTATGAAAGAAAAAGGACAACCACCGCTTCTAAGAAGTTCTGATGCAAAAGTATGAAGGGAAGAAGGATCGGAGAGAAACACCACTTGAGGCTTGCGGATCATATGAGGAACTCTGATCCCTACATCAGATAATGAAATTGATTAGATTTTCAATTCAAGATATGATAAACTGAATTAAAATGATTCAAAATCAAAAGATAATCACAAATACATTTCAGAACGATTGAGTGGGGTGCTTCTGAAATGAATTCGTCTTAATTGTAGAACTTTGGGAACTTGTTAACTCTTCTTTAACATTTGAGTTGGCAAACATTTGAGTATTTAAACTTGTTAACTCTTCTTTATTAGGGATTAAAATGTAAATAACAAAACTTTGTGTACTAATATGACTAGGTTTTTAACGTGGCTTTATATTATAATGTGATTGGATGAAAATGTTTGGGTACCGGTACATGATTTGTTTTAGAAGGCACCGTAGAACAACCAAAATTTTTATTCCATCCGGAGTAGGGATTCAATGCAGAAGTGTACAAAATGACAGCATCAAAGATAAAGAAGTAAAGAACATCGATCTCACCATTAGTCACCAATTATCTAAATTGTTGCCGTTTAATGCGGCGATATATCATGAGATGGATCCCCCAAATTATCATTTTCGAACCTTCAACTAAGAATTTGAGAATACTCTGTCAAAAAAAATTGAGAATACTCATATAAAACTTTGGAACAATAAATTAAAAGATAATCTCGAAAATTTTTGAGTTTCAGGTACTTCGATATTGAACTTTACATACGAGTATATATCATCCCTTTTTTATTGTCTCTGAATGCCTTTATGAAAGTATGAAATAAAACAAAAAACTCTAAACTAACCCAGTTTAGATATAAGTGGTGCAAATTCAAATGATTTAGAAAATGTGGTGCAACATCCATTATCCAAGTGAATAGATAGTATAAACTCATGTTTTCCATAGTCTTCACATATTGACAAAAAAAAAAGGATGACACCCCATCCCTGAGAGCCCCCCACCACCGACCGGACGGCACGATGGGAGGATGTAAATTGGACTATAATCACAATCTGACAGATAGAAAGTGAGGCTCTGTCCCCGGTACTTGCAGAGGCCCTATGCATTTTTCAGCATAGTAACCCCTCATCGCAGTTGCCGGGATTCGAATCCGAGACCTAACCCTTGTGGCACTCCCTTGCTACCAAATGAGCTACGCCCACCGGTACATCCGTTCATATTGACATATATGCATATGCATGCAACTATTTTACTCCCTTTGTCCCTAAAAGAATTTTCATAGTACAAATGATACGAGAATTAAGATAAGAGTATTGTGTGGTGAAGAATTGTGTAGAAGAGAAAGAAATATGTAAGAATTATTGTGAAAAGGAAAGATGGACTAATAAAAATAAAATAACGAGGTCTGTTAGCTTAATTAGGAAATGTACTTCAATTTGACAGAGGGTACATAAAGACAAGAAGTAGAAGAGAATAATTTGTCTAATGATTCCAAGAAGAATGCCAATGATGTGGTGAGCACGTGGCTACGAAAGAAATAGTCGTACATATATAACTATAATTGAAAATTAGGATTTTTTTGGTGACACTACTTTTCGGGTAAACTTTTTCATTAAACAAATATTTTTGATTTTGCGCGGTCAGGTGTTTAATAATAAGAAAAAATAAGGTTGAAATTATTTTTTGATTGTATTGGTTGAAGTTTTTGTAGATGATCATTTTGATTATTTTTTTATGTATTTTTTTCTTTATTTTATTAATAAAATATAATTGTTTCATAAAATAGCAGAATCAGTGCCGGAGCCAGAAAAACAGCTAAGGGGGTCAAAAATCAACTTATTTACAAAATGAAAATAGTGGATCGTTTTTAAACAATGCCCGAGTTGAATATTTTATATGCAGTTTAGATAAATAAACACTCGTAGCAATAAAATAGATTATCTTTGCTCTATTTCTGCGTCGTGTCACGTAAGTATTGAGTGAACTATACCCTATTTTTAAATTTTGGAAAAATAATCTATTGTATGCATCAAAATTTGTTGATTTTACGTTTAGATAGTGCTGATTTTCCAGGAGTCATAATTTTTTACTCGTAATGAGTTACGGGGGCCATAATATATCAAATCGAAGATATTTCATAGCTCTATACTCTCAAATTTTCACCGGGATCGGCTGACCACCCTGATCCCCTGACTCCGCTCCTGAGCAGAATCAACAAATCCAATCACTCTAGTTAGAAATTCATAAATAATTGATCTAAGTGTTTGTTTTATTGGTCTATATCTCGGTGTTTGTTTTTTTTTTTCCGAAAATGAGTAGACCTATTTTTTGTAATAATCCACATGAAATAGCTGGACCGTGTCAACTCGTGAGGTGGGTTTTGTTACATGCAAGAACACATGCACGTCACATTCAAATAATTGATGTGATGGGAAAACAGGGAGCTGAGTCTACACATATGCTACAATCCCTTCGACGGGGCTTTGAAAAGGATCCTCGAGCATGTGTGACGAATGAAGTCGGTGAGGCACGTCTAGCATTTTAGAGTGGTAAATAGACTCAAGCGTTTGAAGTGACTGAATTTGATCAATTAAAATATACAGCGTTTTTGCTACGTATAAATTAACGAAACGTTATACTACATCCGTTCCTTAACATTTTATCAACCCGACACGAGAATCAATAAAGTAAAAAATGTGTGATTGAAGTTTGTGCAGAGGAGAAAGAATTATCTGGAATCAGTGGCGGACCCAGAAAGTCGGAGCCACGGGGTCCCTACCCTTCTATATCTCTAATATCTAATTAATAGTATCGTATAAAACTAATAAAAAATACTAAGGAAGCCTAACACTTCAAAGTTGACGTACACCATCAAAACATTAAGATATTATAAGGCAAAGAATTACATATAAAAACCATTCAACAATTCTACATTTCTACAAATGTACCCTCCTAGGCTTTATTTGTTGAAAATATTCTATAATAGAATTGTCACTAATAGTACCAAAAATAGATCGAGTGGTCTGCCTCTGCGTAACCGCGTTTAAGGATTGGCAGCGATAAAAAAAATAGGTCAAAACAACGTAGTTTTGGTCTATTTAATTAAAAAAGCTTTGGAAAACAAAAAAGAAGCCTAAGGGATTCGAACATGGTACCTCCAGTAACTTGGAAAGCTCTAATCCCGCACACGCTACCATTCCCCTACCGCATTCTTTTGGTAGTAAAGTCGTTTCTTGTTTACATATACATTGAATTATTAATTTTATATAATATATATAGGTATTTTTTTCTAGGTGTACGGGGTCCCGGGACCCCGTGGGACCCTTAGTGGGTCCGCCTATGTCTGGAATCACAAATTCTTTTACTTAAAATGGAAAGTGACAAAGTTAATGTGACATCTAAAAAAAAGTTGACAAAGTTTTAAAGGACGGATGGAGTATGTAAAAGAACTAAAATACGGAGTAGTTCTATTTGATAAATTTGGTCAATATATATTACATAATCTAGTTTTATTTATTTTGATTATTACATAATCTAGCCTATGAAGTTAAATATTACTCTCTCCGTCTCGGAAACAAGTTCCATCTTTTCTTTTCGGACAGTACCAAAATTAAGTTTTACTTTCAAACATTTCCTTATTTGGCAAATCATTTACACCAAAACAATGCCTAAACAGTGCCAAACAGTACAAACAGTGTTAAACAGTGTCAAATAGTGCACTCCACAGTAAAGTCAAATTTATTTTCTTAATATGTGTGAAGTCAAATCATAAACTTAATTAAGAACTGGAGGTATGTGGTTCGTAACAAAATACCAATAAGATTGACAACCCGAAAAGAGGAGTTAATTACCAAATAAGATCTAGCCACATGTAAAAGTTACGTAGTAAAACATAACACACATTTTTAAGTGTTACTACCGTAAATATTATAGTAACTAAAATATAAAAGTCTCATCTTTTCTACACATTTATTCTCTTCAATTGTTCTTCATCCTTAAACTCTAAATATATCATTATGAATATCCAATATCCAATATACAATAAACATACAACATGTCTCACAAATTATGATACGTACTATTTGTAATTATGTTGGGATCACTCAACAGGCCTAACACGAGTCTTGTATATTTATGGAAACATGTCAATCTCTAATCTCTTTAATATATCAATTTTAGTTTCTTAAGAATGTAATCCATTCATCAAGATTAGAGGCTTAACGGCAGGTAGTATAGTACCCTCATGATTTGGGTGACAAGGAAATATATATAGGAGTGCAACTAAGTGAGGTGTTTGTTGAAATAAAGAGAGATTTCCCAAACACTAACAAATCCCGGCCTACCAATCACCACTATACCTTCCCCACCAAACACACCACTCCAAACTGATCATCATCTCCCCATATATGGCTGCCACCCAAACCATAATAGCCATAGACGATCAAGACTTCAGCTTTCCGACCACCTTGGAATCTCCCCCGCTGCCACTCTTTCTTGATATGCCGCCTGCTTGGTGGAGGTCCACAGTGGCAGCCTCTAGCGGCGAAAACCCGATGAAAGGTGGAGAACAAGAAGAGGAAAATGTCCGAAAAGATTTCTCTTTGTCCAAGAAGGAGGTCAAAAACATTGCCCAAAGAAGGAGTTTTTCTTGCATAGAAGGGAGAACAAAGAGGAGGGATTATGGTGATGAAGAGGAGAAGATGGATATGTTGTGGGAAGATTTCAATGATGATTATTACAAGAGAAGTTGTAGTGAACTTTCAACACTTGGGAAGTTGGAAATTGAATGCCTCCAATCCTTGAAGTTGTCTTCTAATAAACCAATCAAGAGGCCAGCAGGAATGGTGTTTGTCATGAAAGTCTTGATTAAAAAGGTTTTCTTGATTCATAACTCTGACAATCCATCACTCAAGAAATTAAACCCTCATAATTAATAATCATCTTGTTCACGTCTTTTGTTTGATTTTGACTGTCTATAATAGTCGCACATATATAGATCAACAATTTTCAGGGCCTTAATGCCACCCTTCAAATCAAACACTAGTACACTACCCGAATTTGTCAATTGTGATATCCTCTATGTTGTACTAATGATTGTGTTCTAGCAAATTCGCCATTAGTTGTGAAATTATTCTGTAGCATTGTTTTTTGTAGACGTGATTGCATAAATTCGTCATAAATTGACTATTTAATTGGTTGCTGAGTGTCTCTGCCACCTCCTTTCGATTCTTTTCTCTTTTTTATTTTGACTATATCTATAATAATGCAAACAATCACACACTCACACATATAAATTCCGTTTGGCGACCCTATTTTTCGGGCATACTAGGTTATTAGTCAACTTTTTCATCTGATAGTACTATGGCCTGATGCCCTGATCCATAGTTCAAATACGGAAATGAATACTTAATTCGGGCCCAACCCAGACAAAGGCCTGAACATGGAGATCCAAATATACCACGATCTAGAGGTTGGTCACGCCTGAGCCGGCTTGAACAGCTGGCGCCATGCCCAGTGATAATCCCATGGAGTCACAAGGGCCCGAACAGGAGGATCCATGTGCATCATGTGGTCAACCATGCCTAAGCTGACCTGGACAACAAGCGTCGAGCCCAGTGGAAATCCCTTGGAGGCCGGACTCTTCCTAGGGCTTACATGGAAAATGTTCCATAAAGGATATGATTAGTGGCATAAAAAATCACCTGAAGGGTCATAGACACAAAGGATGCATTAAACACGTGAGTTATGGCAAAGACGTTACAAGAGTCCTAGCATAATTAGAATCATTATTTACAACAGTAAAGTCTCCTATTAATTGTATAATACACCACATATAAATACTCATTTGCATATCTTGTAAAAGGGAGAGTTGAGTAGACTAATAATACTGTTACTCGTATTACTTTCTTTCCTACGCTCAATGAACATTTGAAAGATTAAACTCTTGTGGTTGGAATCATTTTCCATCATCACCAAACACGTAATTTTTATTTTCCTTCAAGAACGGCGTCCCTTCCGTGGTACAATGTTCTTAGATATTATATTGGTTTCTCAAGGAGACTTATAGGGTTCTTTTTTACACACACACACACACACACACTACCACCTTTTCATGAGAATGGGAGAAGGTAGGGGGAAATTGTTGGTTGCTCTTCTTTGCACGACTTTGTATTGCTATTGAACCATGAGAATAGCAATAAGAGCCCTAAGTACTCCCTTGATCATGAGATATTTGTTTCCAAGTATCTCCATTTTGACCGTGTATCCTTAACCATATGTTGTTCTTGTATGCCCTTCCCACTTCTCTTCTAGCTTAATCATTTTATGTATTTTCATTGCTACATACTCCCTCCAGTCCCAAAACAACTTCACACTTTCTTTATTGGGTAGGTCCAAAATAAACATCACATTTCTACTTTTGGCAACTTTTTAATATTAAGGTACCCTTATATCCTTACTTTATTACCTACTTCACGCCCACTTTCTCTCTCCCATTACACTTTATATACTTTGGGTGGGGGGGGGGGCACAATGGGAAAGTCAAAACAAAAAATTCCACTTTCTTAAAAATCAGAAGTTAATTTGGGACCGGAGGGAGTAGTTGTTCTCTTCAAGCAAATATGCATCGATTTGGCTAGCTTACATGTTAGATTCCTAGATTGATTTCACACTTGATTTGCCACATACACCGTCTCGTGATATGATATACGAGACTTCCATATTCTGAAACCCGATGAGCATCATTGTGAAAATGACTCATAAAAAATGACACAATTGTCGAGGACGTCGTTAGTGATTGAATGATTGATTGAATTAGCATTTGAGTTTTCTATTTTTGGAGTTTGTTTACTTTTGTGTTGTTTGTTTTACTTTCATTCCAGCCCTTGTTTCTTTGTTTTATATCGTGCTTGAAGTTTCTGATATGTATTGATGGCATATCAATACAATGGCTACGAAAGCCAAGGACCGATTACACAAACAATGGTTGTAATTAATTTCTAAGACCCTTAATTTATAGGTATTGTTCTTTTATTTCTTTGTTTTGCACTGTCAACACAAAAGTTTCTTATTGATGGCACTTACGAAAGTTTTTTTTATTGATTATGTGCTTGAAGTTTCTTATGACACATATACATCAACACTATTTATTATTGTTGTGATTAGAATTAATGTCAGGCACGGATTGTGACGTGAGAATGTGCACTAGGGATGGTGTAAACTAAAGTGGCGCCGTAAAAAATCAATCTTAAGGATCAAATATAAGCTTAAATGGTAAATATATGTTAGGAAAAATTGACAAGAATAATCTCACATTGGTCTTCTCATAATAATTCCACCTTTAAATAATCCCAGAATAATCCACCTTTACATCTCATCTTCTTTCATTGGACCCTAACCTATTGATGACCTACTATACCAGGTTTCAGCAGCCTGCTCCTTAAGTCATTTGTTTCTGATAAACACATTTATATTATGTTGCATCTATAATCTTCTCACAACTAAAAGGGTCATAACCTTTGTTTCTATAAAATGTCACACTTTTGAAAAAGATATTGATCAGTCTGTTTCACAATCAAGTCCCTAAAACCTCCAGAAAATAAAACACTTACTGATCTATCTGTTTCACACATCTATCCAAATATAGATCAGTAACCAACAATATGTTCCCATATCACTACATAATCCACCTTATCCTTAATCTCATACCAAAGAACCTTCTGTATATCCCAAAACATCCAGTTGCCAACATCTTTTTGAGAAGTCAACCACTTCACTAAGCTGGAAAATATACTTGCCAATGTCCATATTCTTCAAAAAATAATTCATACCTGGACAAACCAAGTATATGACCAAAACCTTATCATATGGTCATCCTGCTTATTTGATATTGGGATTAAAAGGTTCAGAAGAGATTCAATGATATAAAGGGAGAAATCAAGCAGAATAAACATAGCAGAAATCTAATGTTTTCATTAATTATCAATTGATACTCATCAACCTTGGATGATATCAATTATCAAGTGGTACTTATAAATATCAAAAGATGAATGTTGGGTTTAAATGGTATCTCATGAGATACTACTGCTCCGAAAAGGAAAGGGAAGATCAACAACAAAGGTGATAGGAACATAGAGTGGAAAGAAGAAGTCAAGATTGGAGCACAACAAACTGGAGTTCTCGGATCATTAACACAACTTATGTTAATGGTTTAAAGAATCATCTATTGAGCACACGCCAGTCTATTAAAAAGGAAGACAGTTGTCCTCAAAGATGTCAACAAAATTGTTCTCACTAGAGAAGATGAATTCTCAATCTGGAAATAAGCAAGCTCCCAGCTGCCTGCTGAAAAACTGTTGCTAAAATATTCAGCTCCCTGGAATCACCAAAAGCTATCATCAGTTGAAAAGGCCTTCTTCACTATACTATATAGTATAAGTGGATGTATCATATGATGTTCAATCCCAATCAGAAAATCTTATTTATAAAAGAAAATTGAACTAGCATCAACAACATCACACAAAGATTGTTAGGATTTATTGCACTGGATGTAGATTTTGATGATGTCTACAAATAGTGAGATATTTCAAGCCACAAGAAGGATACTAGCACATCTATCTCTCAAGGCAAGATTCTGAATGTTGACACTGTTGGGTGTGTTTCGGAAAATAAAGAAAATTAATTAAAGTAAATTAATTAAATAAAATGACGAAAGAAAAACAAGAAAGGAGATGAAGCAGAATTTGTCAAAGCTCGTGCTACGCACGATGTCCTTAAAACGTATTTGTTGCCTCCCACGGTGCTAGGAGCGTTGCAACAATAGTTTCCCAGGATACGATGACAACGAACTAGTGTTTGAGCATTCAAACAAAAGTTCCAGCGAACGAGAACACAGTATGAACACAGAAGGAATTTGCAGATTGCTAGCAGTGTGTTTTTAGAGGTGCAAAACGTGTAAGTTCGTGTAAGAACGTGTGTTGTTGCAAACCACCTGCCAGCCATTATATAGGAGGATTTGTTGTGTGAAAATAGTGAATTAATGGACCTGAACGTTGGACATCAATGACCAGTCCGTTGGGCATTGAATCGTCCATGAACTGTCCATTTAACGCTGCATTAAAAGATAAGAACGTTGGGCATTAATTGTTGTAACGTTTCAGAAGCGCGACAGAAGACCTCCATCAGAACACCCCGGGAGGGGTTCTGATCGGAGGCCAATCAGAAGACCCCAACTCTGATCCGCGGCCATCAGAGTACCCCCAACTCTGATGGGCGGCCATCAGAATACCCCATCTCTGATGGGCTGCCATCAGAACTCCAACGAGGTGTTCTGATATGTAGGCTTCTGTCCGAGCACTTCTGCCGCTGGGAAAAAATTAAACGTTTTGGGAAGAAAACAAAAATTAATCGTATCTCTTGAGAGATAGATTTTTGGACGACATTCGTGTCCGCAGGTCGCCCGCGCACGCAAGTCGCGGTTTTTCTTCTCCGATTTCGGGATTTGATTTGCACCCCCCCTGCGCGCGTGGAGAGAGCCTTTACCCTTAGGAATCTTAACTCCATAAGGGAAAAATCCCTTTATAAAGGGTTGCAAATCCCTTGGGTTTTCCGGTGTGGGAAATTAACACTAGAAACCCATCCTTTTTCCCAGTTTTTCCCTTCTAACGGGTAAACTTCGAAAAGCGATTTCTCATTCACCCGTTATCCGTTTTGAGCGTACCATATATCGAATTGTAGCTCTTAACAAGGACAATCCGAAACCACTTTGACCCGACCCAAATCGGAAGTGGACCCCACTCAAAAAATTGCCCCAAAATAGCCATTTAATGCAATTTTTCACACATTTTTCCAACAATCCCCCACATGAATGAAAATTGATTTTCGAGACTTAAAAAGACACGAAGATAGGAGGACACGTTGTGTTCACCGGATGATCCTTGTATACGGAGAGGTAGGTTTAATCCTTTGAACCTTCCGCTGTAAAGACTCGTTTATTTACTGGCTGTCTAGTAGACTCGATGTCTTTGAACTATACTGCCGTCGTGTAAACATTGACTTATCTTTACACAAGAACCTTCCAACTTTGTTCCGTTCTCATGGGTGTGCCCGTTTTGGCCATGGGTCACCGTCCTGGTTCTGCAAGAGTTTCTAAAGAACTGAGCCATTACAGTTCTCCTTTGAAGCGGCCC